AGCGCGTCTATTTTCATTCAAATACGTTTGTATCTGTCTCTTATACACATCTAGATGTGTATAAGAGACAGTTATAACACTACTGAAATGCAATACAAATTACTTTACCAATAGGACTCACAAGTTCGACCTGGACAGAATCTTCAACCATTTTAGATCTCAAAATAGGCTATATACTTTTTTCCTTCCATTTCTAAAGGGTTATTTTTCAGAAGACATATGATATTTGTACACCTTTTTCCTTATGCGTTTTAGTTTTTGCATTTTTAACCTTTTTACCGCTTTATTTATTTAGTTTTTTATTTATTTTTTTTTTAAATTTCTTTTACATATCGATCAGTTCAAATAGTACACACTATGTTTACCTTTTAGTATTATTCATCTAATTTACAGTAAGGCCCTAATATTTACCATTAGTTTTTTTGTTCATTCTGTTGTTTTTTGTTTTTTTTTTTCATTTCTCTCATTTTTTTTTTTTTTTGCCTAACTGCCACCGTTGCCATATTGATGATTGCATGTGCCCCATGTACAACAAACTCATTATGCCGAAGGTTCCGTAATAATATTTTGTTTCATAAGGAGAAAATTTAAAACAAGAAAGGATAAACTGTGAGTTTAGACTCCTAAAGTAAGGTTGGTGGTTTGCAATCTAGCAACCAAGCCTCTGCCCAAGGTATCATCATAATATATTTTTTGCCCATTTTTTTTAATACGGTAGCGGATGGCCCTTCCAGATTGTTATTAAATGACCTTCTTAAATAAACGAAATTGAAATAATAGTATTACTATTATCTTTAATTAATTTAAGATGACTCATAAACACAAAACATTCTTATAATGTTTGTGAACATTGTGGTTAGGTATGTCACAAAATAACGTTCACACAACGTTGTAAAAACGTTCAAACGTCGTGAGGTTGTGACATTAGGTTATAAATACGTACATGGTTCTACAAAATAACGTTTTTATCACCAAACTGTAACGTTATTATAACGTTCTTAGAACGTAATATTGTTAGCTGGGTAGGTAGTGGATATGTTTTTAGTCGTGAGAAAAAAAATTCTGTGCCGTCACATGAATTGAACCCAGGACCCTGGGATTAAAAGACAAGCATCCTAATCGCCAAGCTACATCTCCACTTGATTTGCGAGGTAGATCAAGGTAGGATGTTAAAAAATATAAAGGTTGTGTTTTAATAATCTAAAAGACGTCTTCATTCAAGTACATATAAACTGAATGGTCATTTTTCTTATTAATTTTATTTAGGTTTCTTTATAAAACTTGTGACATTATTAAGTAGATTCATATATAATATAAATGATAAGACCTACATACAATGCATAGATTTGTACATTTAAATTAGTATAAATGTCAACAAAGAAATATTTGTACTGATTTATATACTATACTATAGGCCTAGTAATAATAGCCTAGGCCCTAGGTAGACCTCCCTAGGCCTATGCACATTTTAAAGAATTTATATAGGTCTAGGCCCCTGGGCCTAAGGAACGTTTTATTTTCCGCTTTTATTTTTCATTGTTTTAAACATGAAAAGTCGTTTTCTTTTAAAAGAAAAGGTGCCAAATTTTTGTGTATTTATTTCTTCCCGTTTTCTATTTTACGATATGCGAACATAGCCACTGCGCAGAAGTCTTGGCAACGCTCTCTCTTGCCATGGTCATGGTCATGGTGGCCTAAAATATTGTCATATTTTTATGTTCTTTAAAACTTTACATAGTTTTCAATTTACCTTGCGATTGATCTGGACATGATCCTCTTTAATTACTACACTTGGTTTGTAGCAAAAATTGTACTAAATCAAATTCGGACTTGTTAAATCAGTGAAATTTTGAGCAGTGAAAGTATGAAGAAAGTAAATCACAACTGCTGCGCCAAACCGTTCATGCAAACATAAAACAGTATTGAATTAATGTGTTCTTCTCTTCTCCCAAATGTATTTAGGCCTAATATTTTAGCATGTGTTAAAGGTATATGCCTACTACTGTACCTGTTGTAAACCATGAAACCCCATAAAAATGTAGTTTAAACATTGAAACAATTCACTTTTTTGATAAATACAGTCTCTTTGAAAACTTAGTGTGGTTAACTGTTATATGCAGATTAGTATTAGTCTAAGCTGCCCTATAGCAATAACTACTTTCTGGAGTTTTTCTTTTTGGAGAATCTTATTCGTCTTTTTTATGATTTACCTGTATTAGAGTAAAAATTATTTATCGATATTTTTTGGAACGAGTAGCTTAGTCAGAGCAGTGGCGTAACGCCTATGCGCTTTCGTGCGGCGGTCCACAGGGCCCCCGACTCTTTGGGCCCCGAAGTGCGGCCCTTACTTATAGGGTCCTCGATTTTTATACATAACAGCAAAATATCTCTGACATCGACTGTAGGACATATGTTATATTATATCCAGGAAAGGATTAAAGGGGCCCTATAAATTTGTCAAAATTTGTTTAAATGGGAAATTATTTTCAAGTGTCTGTAAGTGCCATTTTCAGCTATCTAAAGGTACCATAATAATCATAAAATTTCTTACCACAGCCCCACCATGGTGGGGCTGAGGTGGTATAGAATCTCCATTTGTGAAAGTCCCTCTCTGGCCCCTTCTATTTAAAATTCGTACTATCCACCACTGATATATCATTTATTTCATTGTCAATTGAAGAACATACAATGACAAAAATGATTAAAAAACACATCTAAATCCCACAATAGAATTGGCGACCGGGACCGAAAAAAGACCCCATAGACTCAGAAAGCCACAGTGCCGGCGGCCCCTATCCACAGAGTAGGGTTTAAGGGGTACCCCTTTGATAGTGAGCTCAGTCATCAATCGCCGCCTTATTGCTTTTTAACGAGGACATAATTATTTGAACACGGTCTGTATTTTGAAATCGAAATATTCCCTTTCGGGAGGGTTACTTTTGGACAACACTGTATAATACATTAAATGTATGTAGGTAGCAGCCTATTTGGCCTAGGCTTTTTTTTGTATTTCTGGTTATGGTACTAAATAATTATCTTCGTTGTAATTTTAGAAATTCCTTCTTGCAACAAAGTTGAAGATGAAGATGCATACAGAACTTATCATGTTAACGACCAAACCGTTCGAAACACTAAGGGACGTTGAAAATGTATACAAGTATAGTTTCCCTCCGCCAGTGGTAAGTCAATATATTCTGGATATGGAAGACATACGGTCCATTACTCTATAAGTGTGAAAACACCACCACACACTTTAGGACTTCCTTATCAGTAAGATTCATGGAGGAAGGGACGTGCTGAATTCCTCCGTTATACAGGCCAAACACCTCCCCATGGGCCCTACAGGCTTCTTTCTTTGAAAGATGCCCACAGTGTGATGTGTTCTCACAATGTTGACCGTGTTGATCAGGAGGTGTGGTTTACCGTTGGTGTGTGTGGCACAGCCACTATAATAACAGTAGACACAGTGTGAAGACAGTCTTGATACTAGTCCATACTATTTTACTCTGTTTAGACTTTTTGATATTTTCCTAAGTGCTTTCAGGCAGTTTGCTGTCTTAAACAAGTCTAGGCCTATTACATCATTCAACATTCCAAGTTTTTCAAAGTCACTGTCACCAATATCCAAGTTTTGTTTTTCAAAATTAATTTTATTCTTTTATTACTTAATTATGCTTCTTTTCGCAGGATGTTGACGGATGGCATACCGATGAGCATTTCGGCAATTTAGCAATGAACGGTTGCAACCCCAACATTATTCGGCTGTGTACAGAAATATGACGATGATGCTGCTGATGATATGGGACGGATCCAGACATTTGACAGATTAAGTGGTGTTACAGAAACAAATATGACAAATACGACGTGCGGAACGCGTACGTCGGTGAGATTTTTTTCTGTTATATTTCCTGAACTCTCTTCTGTCTTGTCACCCTCTCATCTTTGTATGTAACTTTAAAGTCAAAAATATTAAACGAAGATTAGATTGAAATTTATTCTCATAAATGGATACAAAATCAGCTGATGGCTATTTACTCACACAGTATAAAATGTTTTTTTTTTTTGTTTTTTTTTTGTTTTTTGTTTTTAATAAAAAGGCATTGGGGTGGGTGATTAGGTGGATAATAACCATACTGTAATATTATTATGACAATGATTACGACATTGATGATCTTCAAGGTGCTACTTGTGATGATTATGGTGAAGATAATAGTAACGATGATGACGCTGTTAACAGTGATGATGACGATGACGACAACATGAAATTGACGATGCTACTTTTGATGAATATTGTGAAGGTGATGATGATGATGAATGTAATGACAACAACATAAAGGCGCCGATTTCGAAAAATATTGTGTTTGATAATAGTAATAATAATAATAATAACAATGATGATGATATGATGGTGATGATGATAACGACGACGATGATGATGATAATGATGCTGATGATGATGATGATGATGATGATGATGATGATAATGATGATGATGATGATAATAGTGAAGATTATGGCAGTTTTGAATGTGTATTGTTTTAATTTTATCCAGCAAGTAATAATTAAATTACCGTACTTTAAGAATTCATTCCAAAAAAGTAATAAAAATCAATTGAGTACCGGCGTAACCGATATTTTCCACAGGCCTGCTCTGAGTTAACTTCAATACATCAATAACTCACCTCTCACACGGTAATTAATCAAGCCCATTGACCTACTAATCAAATTATTATGAAGATAATGAAAAACTATTATGCACATATGAACTTGGTCTCGATTATTGTATTGCTCACAATATTGTTTTTATTAATATTCGCCTTTGAGGAAATAAATTTACCCCAAAGATGATTTCAATTTACATCGGATGGATGCTTTGAATTCCACTTAAATCCATCCTTACAAATAAAGATTGCAGTAGTTTAAATCAAGTCAGCGTGATTATAAATAAGTCTACCCATCCGTCTTTGTGTTCTACCAGTTAGATAATTGTTGAAATCCAAATTGATCCTATCGGAAAAATCAGCACACTACCAAGAATGTTCTTTGTTTCAATCCAGATTACAGTTCCTATGGCCTTACAAATAAAGACGACAGACGTTTAAATCAGCATAGGCCTACCCGTCCGTTTTTGTGTTTCATCAGTTAGTTGTTGAAATCCAAATTGATCCTCTCCGTTTATGTAAGAATATTAAGAATCAGCACAATGCTAAGAATGTCTCTATTTCAATCCAGCTTACAGTTCCTATGGCGCTCTACTACTCAAACGACAATAACGACTTGCTTCCGATCGCCATTCAACTGTACCAACAAGCAGCTCTTGATAATCCGGTAAAGTTAAACCCTACATAAAGAGTAATATAATGATTAGGCCTATTTAAAGCCGTGTAAAAAAAGAGAACTTGGTTCACATCAAAGCAACACGCGTTGACGCAAGCGCAAGCTTGCGTTTGGATAATGCGTATAAATTACTCTAGTGTGAACCAAGATTAATAATATATGCGTAGTAAGATAAAAGCCTTGTTTCCATGAAATTGCTACACTGTCACCACAGTGTTTTCACTGCCATCGTTACACTACATAGTTGTCTCCGACGCAATCAGGAAAAGGTCCCTGATTTGACCGACCAATCAGTCGCCGAGAGCTGCCTGCGATATCGTGTAGCGATTTTATGGAAACAGGCTTAACGTTGTTTGCGTCAGCCCGTTAAAGTCCAATGTGAATCAGGCTTTACGCATCTTTTCAACAACTGATTTACATTTTTATAATTGAGTATCTATCCAACACTTGTTATCTTTTCTTTACCAATTCACCATGATTTTTTTTCCCAACAAATGATCTGATTTTATAATTGAATATCTGTCTAACGCCTGTTGTCTTTGCTTCACCAAGGTGTTTCTACCTAGCGATCCCAAATACACGTGGATGATGGCGAAATTGTGGTTCAACCTCGCCGATGCCTCCTACCACGAGGCGTGCTCGCATCTAGCGTTCACTCACTTCATTTTAGAGACCATCTCAGTAGCTGTAAATCGCCATCTTTCGCAGTCTCATCCACTCTTCCGTCTAGTTGCTCCACATCTTCATTTTGTTTTGGCTATAAATAGGTGAGATACCAGCTAACATGATTATATAAAATATAATTAGACTTTGTCGTGGTGGTTGATCGAAAGCCATTGGTACATTATGATGGACAGACAAGGAAAATAAACACACACCAACGATTACATTTTTATGACCAAAACATATAACGTACTGATGGTATATAGTGTAATAAAGGTACGCCTATTCAGGGGACACTACCAAACACGTGAAATTGTCTCCTTAATAGTGGGGTTTTGGCATGTTTTCGTACAATGATGACAGATTCTTTATAATTTTATTTTTTTTATTGATCTAAGAATGAGTTACAGTTCAATTATAACTAATTTATAACAATAATTTGCAATGAAAAATAAAATCATTCATATATGATATGAAATCAAGAGATAGGCCTATGTAATTAAAACAACATTTGTATATGCTCCTGTAATCAAATCAATCTTTATTGTCCAACATAGCAGAATGTATAGTGGAAATTCGTCTTTAAAATTTACAGAGTAAAAAATGAAACAGAATGATAAATTCGAAAGTTAGATTAATAATTTTTTCAAAAAAAATTCAACAAGAAATTTTTAAAATACTATCAAAATTTACAAATATACAAAAATACAATTTTCCAATTCAAAAAGATTTAAAAAAATAACAAATAGAATAAAGAAGGATGAACTATTATCTATGGCAAGACCTATTAAAAATTACAATGGGGGAAGGAAAAAATGTGTTTTTAAATCTGGTGGTTCGGGAATACACGTACGTAAGTCGACACTTGGATGGTAGATATAGGCAAAGAGTATAAATAGAACAAGAGAGCCAACAACGCCCATTGAGAGCGTAAAAAACGATACGCCCATACGCAGCTAGTGTAGGACGCCAACTAACGCTTGTATGTGTTTTATTACCATAGAGCTATTAAACAACTAGAGTGCTGACAAGATGGTGGAGCAATGCAGAGTTGTGTATGTGTACCATCCAAGATGGCTGCCGTAGGAAAGCGCCGCCTTCAGGCTTAGTATACATATTATTCCCATAAATAAGCCCTCTGACTGAATATTATTTCATTAATGATAATTAGTATTGATAATGACAAATTATTAAACTGTCGTAGCCAAAAAGAGGTCAGGTAGAGCATCTTATTCAAATATTTAAAAAAATTAAAATCGTGTACATTACACCCATACACCGCAACGCTCGAGTTTCAAAATACGGGTAACTAGCTGCTGTACTGAACTTTCTGTGTAAATTGAGGGCGCCATTGAAAATGATAGCGCTCAGGCGAAATTTGATTGGCTGAATCTATGGCAGCCATCTTGGATGGTACACACACACAGCTCTGCGTATTTCAAACATCGAATACATTGCTGTTAGCGCTCTAGTATTCTTATTATATCTCTATGTTTATTACCCGGTACTCCACCGCGCACGGTCGGTTTGTCTGTTTATCTGTTCTCCACAAGATACTGTACTTTTGTTTTCTGTTTACTGAGTTTATAGCGGGCGTACTTCCACTGCGCTGCGCAGCGCTGCACTGGGTAATAAACATAGAGATTATGGCTACGTTCAGACCTATGAGATACGCCAGGCGTATCTAACGCCAGGCGTACGTTAATCCATGGCGTAACTAGCGAGATGTCCAGACTGGGCGATTAATGAACGCTAGCGTAAGTATTCGCGCGAAATATTCGTATTCGTAATTCGCGCATTTTATTTTCTGTTTACATCTAGGTTTATTTTGATTGGTCAAATCTTGGCTGAGTTCAAAATCACCGATGCGTGACTGTCGTAAATCAGTGGCGTACGCTAATCTGGGGTCTGTTGCTGGATTACCGTACGCCAGTGATTGCGCAATAATACTGGCGTTCGCTACGCCGCGCACAAGTTCACACCACTCGATTAACGTTACGCTAGCGTAAGTCGTTGAGTCTGAACATAGCCATAATAAGAATACTAGAGCGCTAACAGCAATGTATTCGATGTTCGAAATACGCAGAGCTGTGTATGTGTACCATCCAAGAATGCCACCATAGATTTAGCCAATCAAATTTCGCCTGAGCACTATCATTTTCAATGGCGCCCTCAATTTACACAGAAAGTTCAGTACAGCTAGTTACCCGTATTTTGAAACTCGAGCGTTGCGGTGTATGGGTGTAATGTACACGATTTTAATTCTTTTTTAATATTTGAATAAGATGCTCTACTTGGGCTCTTTTTGGCTACGACAGTTTAATAATTTGTCATTATCAATACTGATTACCATTAACGAAATAATATTCAGTCAGAGGGCTTATTTATGGTAATAATATGTATACTAAGCCTGAAGGTGGCGCTTTTCTACGGCAGCCATCTTGGATGGTATACATACACAACTCTGCATTGCTCCGCCATCTTGTCAGCACTCTAGTTGTTTAATAGCTCTATGGTAATAAAAAGAATATACAACCGTTAGTGGGCGTCCTACACAGGCGTGACGTTTTTACGAACGGGACTTTGCTCTCTTGTTCTATTTATACTCTTTGATATAGGCCCTACATATTCTCCCCAAAGTGAGTGATTAATTTGTAAAATAATACGTTTAGTTAAAGCTTTCGGAGATACCTCATATTTCATTTTTAGGTCATCAAAATGTAATCATTTCTGGCCCTTCTTATATAACTTTCTAGAATTAATTTCCCAATTCAGTTTATCATCTACAACAGTTCCTATGTACTCATATTGATGAACAACTTCTACACATTCATCGTCAATATTTACATTATTATGTAAACATGTTTTCTTTCTGAAGTCTATACACTTTCTTTAGTTTTTTTTTAACATTTATAAATAGAAAATTATCCTTGCACCACTTAACGAAGTCTTCAAATTCGTTCATTGTCATCTTTGATCCTTCCTATCAGACACGTATCATCGGCATACTTAATAGTGAGACAGGAGTTATAGGAAGCACGACAGATATTTGTATACATGATAAATAAAAAAGTGGGGACAGGACGCAGCCTTTGGGGTGTACCAGTGTTATTGTATGTGATTGTTGAACGCATCGTTTTGATTTTAACTTGTTGGGGCTTATCTGTGAAGAAGTCAAGTATCCAGAGAATATTTGAAGAGTTAATTTGAAAATTGAGTAACTTTGAAATTAGCATATGAGGTTGGAGTGTATTGAAAGATGAAAAATTTATGAATAGAAGCCGTGAATATGTACTTTTTTAGTCTAGGTGTTTATGGATAGTGTGTGGCAAGGTGGCCGTAGCGTCTTCTACACCTGTGTGCACCATATGCAAACTGAAATGGATCTAGCTGAGGTTCTATGAGAGGTTTGATTATATTAGAAATAAAACGTTCTAGGCATTTCATGACAAGTGAGGTAATAGCAATAGGTCTATAGTCGTTTAAAGTTTTAACATGAGTGGTTTTGGCGACAGGAATGATAACAGAATGTTTCAAAATTGATGGGAGGATAGAAGTTGTTACAGACATTTGGAAGATATAATGGAAGATACAGTACCACAATCCTTCAAGAGTTTTCCACACAATTTTTCAGGGCCAGTTGCCTTATTTGGTTTGATTTGTCTCAAAAGGGCAACTACCTCTTTCTCTGTAATTATCACTTTGTCAGCTTCACCAATATTTAAATCAACATTCCTATACAACTCATATGAAAGCTTAGTACTATTCCTATTATCAAATCTCATATAAGATTCATTTAATTCCGTTGCTAAACTCTCCTCGTCATACCCTACAACCACTATTCTTATCTGTGCCTATAATGGACTTGATATCTCCATGTATTTCTTGGATCATTCTTATTGAAATTCTTTTCAATTCTCTGTCTAAATTTAATTTTTCCCTTTTTGATACAAGACTCGGTTTATCTTTTTGCTTCTTTTAACATATCCTTATTGTTTTTAAAAGCTAATTTCTTTTTCCTAATGGCCGATCGGTTCTCATTTGTGATCCAAGGCTTATTATTTGGATATGACTTAACTTTTTTTGTTGTAATAGTCAGAGCTTGACAATAAGCAACATACAACGATACTGTTTCTGTGAGTTCATGAATGTCTTCATTATATTTAACATATCCCAATTGTTTGCATCTAAGCAGCCTCTTAATTTTTCTAAATTTTTAAATGACCACATGGATCCGTTTACATTCTGTTTTCCCCGTTTTAAGTATTTGCTTATACAGAGGGAGCAAGTAAATACCATCATGATCTGAGTTACCTAAACTAGGTTTCCGATATGATTTATATGCATCCGAATGCTGCCGTAGCACAGATCAAGTGTGTTATTACCTCCTGTAGGGCAATTAACCTATTGTTGCTATTTCCAGGTAATGTCTTGGACCTTAGAGTGCAGGCTGTATGTTATGATTAGAATCCTATATGAAAATATAAGAAATCCCCACTGTTAATGGTAACAATTTACAAGATTGTAATTATACGAAGTACAGTAACACATGGCATATACCAATGTCCATTCTATAGGGATTGACAAGAAAAAAATTCCGATTTGATGTTAAATATATTGCTCAAAAAGTGTCAAAATATAAATTTGAATGATTTTCTTCTTATTTTGTAACTACGGTTGTTGTTTTTATACAATAACATAAGAAATAATTGTGGTTAAATTTTATTGGTTTGACAATTTTACATACTCAGGAAGTCGTCCCCGTCCACTTAACAGGTGTGTCCCCTTATTAGGGGTTGGACATAGTGTTAAATGATATTCCCTCTCGTTTCATTGAAACGTTTCCATTAAGGGTGTCTACTGAATAGAGGTATCCCAAATGAGTGGTTCTAATGTAATAGAAAAAAATAAATGCGCTACAGTGATTGTAAGAGTGTAAAAACATACTAGGCCTATATGGGTCATTCGAGATCGCCAGGCTACGACGTGCCCAAAATAGCTTGTTGGAAGGTGTCTACAGTACTGTAGTTTTATTAACATGAATACTATTTAAATAACATTGTCATCCCAATTAAGTCTTATATGTAATACTTAACATTTTTTATTTCTTATTCTTTATATAGTCGAGGTCTGGGCAAGCTTTTGGCGAAAGGTGGCGCCTTCGATATTCTTTTTTTAATGGGCCTCGAAGGAACCTATGCGTTAATAGCAAAAGCTTTCGAAGCATGGTCATTTACAAAAGACGGAAGTTTACCCGAAAATCTAAAGAAGAGGAAATTAGACGATGCTTCAATTCTACCAAATTACCACTACCGCAAAGACGGCATTCCCATATGGGAGGCTATCAAGACATACGTGGCCACCATCGTCAGGCACTACTATCGTAAGCATCTTTGTGTGAATTTATAGATTTATAGACTTATAAACTTATAAATAAATATATATATATAATGTGTATTATATATGTATATATATATATTATATATTATATAAATTGGTAAGCAAAAACTATATATACATATATAAGAAAAATCAAGGAGGCATTGCATATAAAATTGGACACGCCCTCTTTCAACAAGCAACATTTACATGTTAATTTAACTTTGTCATTCTGATGTTCATCGTTACGTTATCATCTTTATTCATTCCATTCTTTCTTCTTTACAACAGTCAAATCGATTCCTAAAAATGCAATGTCGTGATGTCTGTTCGAATAGCTGCAGTATGGTTCAATTCCCATTTATTTAAAATAAAATGCTTCACAGTTGTTCACTCCATTTTAATATAGATTGCATGTTAGCAATCGTTTCACAGAAGATGGCGAAGAATTTGCCGAAACATGTTTGTTTTATAGTATACCGAGTTTTGATAATAAAATTCATTAGGCTTTGCCTATATGGGATATTGAGTTTGAAAATTATTGTGGTATTCTTAAGATGTATTTGCTGTCTGCTATTACACAGATATATAT